GAAAATTATTATTACTAGTCACCATCACCATTATAACTACCTTCATCACCATCAACTGCTGTCACCATCATTATGAATTGACTACCATCACGGTATTTTCATTATCACGATGAATTTTTACTATCACTATCACGTCATCACTATCAATATCACCATCACACCATCATCATCCTTATCACATTAAACTCACTTCCACCATCACCATAAACTCATTATCATGTGCATCAACATCCTATTCACCATAAAATCACCATTATCATTATTATTGACATCATCATCATTATCACCATCAGCAGTAAGAGACAACAACAATTTTACACTGGTATCGTAATATTTATATATATTACTTAAGACCACATCACTTATAGGCAATATGTATACTGATAAGTGGGTGTTAAGTTTGAGTGCAGTTTGCGTGTGTATTTGCGTGCGTCTGTCTCTTCTCTCTCCCTCTCTCTCTCTCTCTCTCTCTCTCTCTCTCTCTCTCTCTCTCTCTCTCTCTCTCTCTCTCTCTCTCTCTCTCTCTCTCTATCTCTCTCTCTCTCTCTCTCTCTCTCTCTATATATATATATATATATATATATATATATATTTCTATATTTTTATTTCTGTACTTCTATCCGTCTACCAAGAGGTATTTACTGATATACGTGTGTGTTTAAGTATGCAAATATTCAACACTAATATAATACAAAGAAAGACGAAAAGATAGAAACAAAGGCTCATAAAAGACACACACATACTTTACCATCCTTACGCACTAGGACCAGACACACACACTTTACACTTTACACCCACACACGCGCACAAACAAAGTCACTCACACACACACAAACTTTACATTCTTTTTTTCACACATATACTTTACACACACACACACACACACACACACACACACACACACACACACACACACACACACACACACACACACACACACACACACACACACACTATACGCACAAGGAGCCAGACACAACACCCTCCCACACTGAAGCACTTGCCACGACCTGATTCTCTGTGTTGAATAGGATTTTTTCCCCTCTCTCGATATCACTTAATCTATCTTTTAATATCAAAGACTAGTGAGCGAGGATGTGTATTTTCTTTACTTAGGGAGACGAGGGGAAGGCAAGGGCGAGTGGGAAGGAGTCACGCTTGTTATCATGGATTGGGAGAGAGAAAAAAAAAGAAAAAAAAAGAAAAAGAAAGACAAACATTGCGTTGATGGAAACAGCTGAGATGCGCAAAGCATCGTGTGATCCTTTGGATTCGTTTCTATTGAGGCGTTAAATCCTAGGATGGAAATTACGAGAAAGAATGAAAACAAAACGAGAAAAAACGAGCAAAGAAAAAAAAACTAATAATACGAACACGTAAACAAAACTAAAAAGGGAAAAAATCGTTCTTCGTCATCACAAAGTGGCGCGCGTTTGTACTGTGGCGACAGATGATGCGCGTGAAGATGCTGTCGAAGTGAGTTGATGTCAATTAATGTGTATTTGATGACTTAAATAGCTTCGTTCTCATTGGCGCAGATCTACTGACTCATCAATGACTGTTTCCCGCGCTCTTTCTCTCTCATCCAAGCTGCCGTGAACTACATTACTGCAAATATATATATTTTTTCTTTCGGTAGATGATGTATATTTTCAGGAATTGCCTCGTTGCTTGGAAAAGGTTACCGATACGTGTTGGTGTCATCGAAATTCCGGCAGGTAAGTGTTGCCACCCACTCACGGGCTCAACACCCACGCTACGTACCCAGGTCAGCTGGCTTTTGTCCAACTTTAGACCTTAAATATCAAACTCCTTAGTAGATCTTACATCCAGATCAGTTTATAAACAACTACTGGAACAATATACATGACAATTGCAACAAAGCGGGCAAAAATAGTGACTAAAATTAGGGAAAGAATTAGCAAACAGGAACACCGCGCGGAAATGCGTTCGGTCGCGCGAGTTGGCAACAGTTGCCGTCGCTCGGGAGTGTTGCCCGGACTCTCACGCGCTGCGGAGGGCGGGCCGGGGGCGCAGGGAAGGAGGAACCGTTGTGCGTCTGTGCTTGCGGGCGGCTCGTGTATGTGCGTGTGAGAGGGGCGGCGTCTACGGGCGTCTCGCGCAAATCCTGCCAAAAATGTTCGACGTCTTCGGCAAACTCGGGGCGCTGCTCAAGATCGACCCCGTGAGCATCGACAACATCACCTTCCGCTTCCACTACAAGGTGACGATGATCATCCTCGTCACCTTCAGTCTCTTGGTGACGAGCAGGCAGTACTTCGGCGACCCGATCTCGTGCATCGGCGACGACTTCGAGACCGAGGCGATCGACGTGTATTGCTGGATTCAGTCGACGTTCACCATCCCGGCGCTCACGGGGGCCATCATCGGCGTCGAGGTGGCCCATCCCGGCGTGGCCAGCTTGGGCCAGGCCGAGGACCAGTACGTCGTGAGGCATCACAAGTACTACCAGTGGGTGACGCTCTTTCTCTTCTTCCAG